AATAAGGAATTTCCCGTCAGATGCCGTGGCAGCATCCCCACCGCTCCGCTGCCTGGTGCAATCACCCTCACGTGCAGCAGGGACAGGACAGTGCCGGGGTCAGGAGCAGGAGTCACATTCAGACTGACGGCTTGTGGAGTAAATCCCTCCAGCAAGACAGATCCTGATGTCTCTGGTTTCTTTCCCAGTGCTTTGGGGAGAGAACTGGCCAAGGAATAAATGTGGCTACAGCTGCGGGCCTCTACTGTGAGCTTGTGAGCAGAGGGAGCAGGGAAGGGTCCAAAGCGTACCCAAATCTGTGACAGCAAAGAGGGGGGAGGAGGAAGAAACAGCCCATGCGGTCAGCCCTGGAAAGGGCAGTTTCTGCTGAGAACTGGCTGGGGAACGTTCCCATTTTCATAACCAGTAACAGCTGTGAGAAGGGGGAAAGGAGCGGTTCTGGTCCCTGCCAGCAGCACCTCCCGTCGGCAGCCAGGGCAGGGCACAGCCCTCTGGCCCCGCAGCCAGGAAAACGTGTGTCATTTTCCAGAGGGCTGAGCCAGCACTAACCAGGTGGGAAATGCATGAGCTTCTCACCAAAAATTGGCTCAGTCAGGGCCCGTAGCCTGGCTCGGTGCGGAGCTGCTCCCCGTGGCCCCGTGCACTGCTCACTGCTGTCACCCTGAGCAGCACGAGGCTGCAGGTTGGCACGTCCTGGTCCTGCCTTCCTGGGCCGGCAGGGAAACGTGGACGGGGTTTGTCCTGCTGAGGTTTGCCACCAACCCTCCCCTTCCTTCTCCCATGACCACAAAGCCCGTTCTCTCCGACTTCTCTTCAAGCAGGGCCCACGTGGGCTTCACGCGGAGCACAGCCAGGAAATTCCTCCTCTCCCTGCCTCCGCTCCCAGCCCCATCCCTCGCCACCCCCAAAAGCCCTCTGCCCTCCCAGGGCTGACCCCATGGGGTGCCTTAGCCTGTGCTCGAGCAGACTGGTCCCCACTCTGCCTGAGGAGCCTGGGCTGTGAAGTGAGCAGAGGGTCTGTGGGGTGATCAGGGTGCGCCGAGACCCGAGGTGCTCCTCAGGAACAAGGCCCTGCTGTTTGTTGCTCCACAGCATCCTTCTACCAGGGAGGCAGCAGCTATGTCCAGGCCCGGCCCCTCTGATCCAGGCTGCCCTCCTGGCACCCCTGAGCGCTAGGAAAAGCCCAGCGCCTGCCACTGAAACCGGGGGGAGCTGCCAAGTGCCTCCCAGCTGCCTCTGAGTTACAGGATCCCTCTCCAGCACAAGCCCAGCAGTCTCTCAGCGGGCAACTGTTGGCAATAACAGCCCTCGTTAAACAAAGGGGAGGCAGTTTGGCTTTGCACGGCCCCCCTTCGCCTTTCCCTGCCCCCCTGCAGTCACACATATTTGGGGAAAAGCTTTCTCAGGGCAGCGTGCTGGGGCTCACGTCGCGCTGGCTCCTGCCCCAGCTCTTCCCTCCCACCCTCTTTGGGTTTCCTGCAGGGTTCACAGCCCGGCACCCAGGGGTGCTGCCCATCCCCAGGCATGTAGGAACAGTGCTGTCAGCATGGGACGAGCACCAAAACTGCAGCTGGAGAACCTGGCAGTGGACGGGGAGCAGAGCCCTGTCTCTGGGCTGCGGACCAAGAACGCCTCTTTCCCATCCGAGAAGCCAAGGCTTTGAGCCCTGCCAAACCCCAGTGTTTGTTCCTGCATCTGGCATGCGAGGGATGGCAACAGAAGCATGTGTGAGGCAGAAAGAGGAGTTCCAGTGAAGAGGGGAAGTGGGTTTCTCTTGGGCCTCCGTGACCTTCTCTGGTTTGGAAATAGCAGAGAGATGCAGAGGCACTAACAGCGCGCAGCAGAGAAAATCCTGTGGCCTCCTTCAGTCAGAGGAAACTGGAGCCCAGAGCCACAGCCAGGCCTTCTGCCACCTGGGGTGGGACCAGTGGAAATCCAGCTGCAGGGAGCCGCAGCCTGTTTGCAGGGATGGGTTATTTGCAGTCATGGAGCCTCACTATGGGCACCTTGTCTGCTCGGTCTTGCCCTGCCCCGGTGCTGCCGTGTGATGGGAAGTTTTTCTGCTGCTGGCAGCAGCTGAAGCAAGTCCCCCTGGAGCCTGCAGACTGGGATTTTTATATCAGCAGTGCTCTTGGCCATGGGAATCCTATTGACTCTGTCCTCATCGCCCTCCTTGGAGAAGCAAGCACAGAGAACAGGGCAGAGCCAAAAGAGGGGCTGAGACTGATGAGGGTCAATCGGCTTTGGCAATTTCTCCGTGTGCTGCTGGCCTTCTCGGTTAGTTACGCAGACAAAAAATGATGCTGGCAACGGGAAAGAAAAGGAGCAGGGGAGTCCCGTGCAGGTAGGGTGAAAGTGCACCTCAATTTCCCCTAGAGCTGAGAGTGAAGGCCGCATTTATAACAGATAGAAGTACCGGTATGGCCAGGAGGATAACATCTCCATTAGGAAACAGGGAACTATTGATTACTCAAGTAACCTCAGCTATTGAACAAACGGCTACCTCAGCAGAGGGAAATTCCAGCCTGGGCTCAGGGAGATGAATATGGGGCTGGCAGGGCAGCAGCGGGCACGCAGCACCCTGTGCTCCCAGGTGCCGTGGCAGCACGGCCTGCCCTGTCGGAGGCACCAGGTAAAGATGAAAGCAAACACAAGGCTGGTGCCTCTGCGTGCCTGCCTGTGGCCCTGGCAAAGCAAGTGGAAAACAGTCACTGCAGCGGAGTCCTGGCCAAGAGAGCCTGTGGGACAGGAAGGATTAAAATGTCCGACAGGACCTGGCTCGGCTCCCAGGGCCCTCTCTGGACCCTGGCACAAGGGCAGCTCCTCCGGGTGCCCCAGGCCTCTGCCGTCTCACAACAACGCCTTTAAACAGAGAGCATGTTGCCGACCGGCAGAGAACAAGCTCCCAGCACATCCATTTATTGTATTCTGGGAGGTGAGGAGACCTGCCCTGCTTCCTGCCAGCCAAAGGGCACAAGAAGCACCACAAAGAGGTCCGGGGCCCAGCAGCCATAGCCCGTGGTAGGGACCAAGCAGCCGGGAATGCAGCACAGCTGCAGGAGAGGATCACAAAGGAAGGCTCTCGGAGCACGTTGCAGGCACTCGGCTGGTGTGCAGCTGTCAGGCTGCGATGTGCACGGCCCCCCCGTGCATTGGGGCAGGTTATAGGGCGAGCAGGAAGGACAGCGGGCCAGGAGGGCTGACCGGGGCTTTCTGCTCGGAGGGGTTCTGGTGCCGTTCCCCCGCTGCGTGTTGAACATCTTTAATACACCGACACGAAGCGTGGCGCTGGAGCAGCCGTAGCAGTGCCTGTGGTTCTGTGTGGCCAGCAGCTACCTCGGGGACCACTGCAGAAAGGCAGGGCTAACCCTGCCCACACCGCACCCGTGCCCAGCAGGGTCCCATTTGGGATTGCTCGGGGCCATCCCGAGCTGGGTCCCCACCCCACACCAGCCCTGAGCAATGCTGGAAGCTGCCAGCAGAGCCTCTCCTCCCCTGCCTGCCCACGTCAGAGGCCGCTGGGGGACAGCCCCACAGCCTCCCCTCCGCCAGCCTGCTGCAAAAGCCTCCAAGCCTCCAACGCCGCGCTGCCACGGACTTCCCACCCAGCAGCACGAGCTGTTGCTTTCTGCAGTTACCCTAAAACAAGCAGCGGCACGGCCACCCCGGGCCACTCCCAAGTGCTCCATACGGACCCCGCATCTGTGCCTTCACGGGGGAGGATCGAGCATCTCACAGCGACAGCCTCCACTAACCGAGGCGTCTTTATGCTCCTCGTTACAGTTCTGCTCTCTTGTGTACACTCAGACATTCCCGACCGCGTTCCTCCATGGCCCCGCTGCTTTCCCCAGCCCTTTAACTGACGCCTCCTTGTGATTCCACAAACATGGGAAGCGCGCGAGTTATTTCCACGAAATGGTTGTGAGAGGGGCACCGGCTCCTCCCTGCTCCTTGATTTCAAACAAGGTTTCTTCAGCTCCCCCAAGGTGCTGCTCCGTGCCTCCTCCATCCTGCCCCAGTGCTGCTTTCTGACACCCGCGGGGGGTTGCCAGCTCCAGGCTTTTAACCCCAAGAATACTTTGCTCAGTCAGAGGCACGCTGTGGGTCCCGATGAGCAAAGGCCAACCCAGCCCAGCCTGCTTGCAAGGTGTAGTAGAGTCCATGCGCCCCTCTGCCTTGGAACCAGAGCTGTAAAACTAGCGGCTTTCCCAGGCCATTAAAGAACAAACCCAGCTTTTGGGTGAGAAAGAGATGAAATTCAGCCCGGGCCAGCCCAGCATGCAGGTGGCACCGGGATGCTGCAGGGCACAGAGGTGACTGTCACCCTCACTCCTTCTCCTCGCAGATTTCATCCCGTTACGCAACGGCTACGCTAAAAGGCGCCACGCCACCCGGAACGCTTCAAGGACTTTGTTACTTCGCCTCCCAGGTCTGCGGATCCCCGGGATCCACGTCCAAAGAGCTCCCAGCAATAAATGGATACCTGGCTGCCTCCCCCAGCTCTATTGCTTCCTGCAGGGGCTGCTGGAGATGTGTAGTTTGGTGCACGCTGCTGGGCTCGCTTCCAGTGCAGCAGCTCTGCTTGCAGCCTCCCGTGAGCTTGATGCAGCTCAAGGAGACTGGGTCTCCAAACTTCAGCTTCGTTTCATCAAATATTTCTATTCCAGCCCCAGGAGGGAACGGTGGTCCCCTTCCCCAGAGGGACTAGGGCTGCTCCGCGGTCCCTTTAGCCCACGCTGGGGGTTCACACACACCCAGCTCTTCCCAGCACAGTCCGTAGGATGCACGCTGCTGTCCTGGGGGGCTGCACTTGGAGCTTCTGCACCAGGCAGCCAGGCTCTGACCACATCCCTAAGACCCCAACCCTGCCAGGTTTAGGGCATTGTATAACACCGCCGCTACCCGAGGACCACCGAGCCGGCAGGATGCCGAGGCAGGCTCACAGCTCGCAGCCACCCAAGGAGCCCACCCTGCCCTGCTGCCCCGGGGGGGTCTCTTACCTCGCCTGGAGCCCCCTCCCGCAGCAGCTCCCAGTCCCTCCGCAGTCTCCCCGCTCTCCCTCCCGCGCCACCTCCCCGTGATGTCAGCGCAGCCGCCTGCACCGCACCGCTGCTGGCACCGCGCTGCCCTTCGCAACGGTTACCACAGCAACAGGAGGGGGAATCCCATCCTCTGGGCCCCCGCCACCCGGGGGGGGTCCGCTCCGTACCCGTACCACCCGCTGCAGCCCCCCCGGGAAGGACGGGGCGAGAGCAGGAGGTGCAGCAGGAGAAGGGCAGCGATGCCAGGAGAAGCCTGAGAAGGGATGGTCACGGGCAGCAGGCTCAGGGAAACGGGGGGTCCCCTTCTCCCCAGCATTTACCCTTATTCCCTGGTGCCCTTCTCCCCAGCACTCACCCTTGTTCTCTGGTCCCCTTCTCCCTGGCATTTACCCTTGTTCCCCAGTGCCCTTCTCCCCAGCAGTTACCCTTTTTCTCCATGCAGAGCTGCACAGCTCCATCCCATCCCATCCCATCCCCATCCCATCCCATCCCATCCCATCCCAACCATCCCCATCCCATCCCACCCCCTTCTCACCTTCCCCATTCACATTTTGTTCCCCAGCCCCGTGCTCTGTCTGTAACAGGGCCATGCACAGGTCCGTGCTGTGCCACCCCCCACGCAGCCCCTACCCCAGCAGGGATTTGGGCTACGTGCCCACAGCAGGCGCCCTTGCAGGGATTCATTTTTCCCCCCCCAGGTTGAGGCCAGGCACCAGATATCGATCCCCAACCTCAGACTGGCTCCAGCTCAGCCCCTGGGGAGCCAAACTCCTTCTTACTAACCACAAACCCCCAGCGAAAGGCTTTGCTGCAGTCTCTCGCAGTTTCATCAGGAAGGGAGAAGGGCAGATAATGGATTTTTAGGACTGCAGCACATCTTTAATGTAAAGAGATGGCCCAGGGCCTCTCCTCCCTTCCCCCACGCGAGATGCTGCTTCTTTTCAGCAGAAATATTGCTGCATTAGAGAACAGGTCACTTCCTCTATCAGCGAGAATTCAGTGTCCTATTTGATGCTGGTCCTTGTGCTATAAATAGGATTTCTCCCCCTTTTATAGTTGCTGAATAATTGGCGGTATGAAATATGAACACAGTTTTCAAAAGAGTGCCTGATAAGCAGCTTGCTGGAGTGGAATCGTTGAACAGAAGGAATTCAGAGCACCTGCAGCGCATCACAGGCTGTGGAAAACATTCAAGGTCAGCGCGACGGAGCCGGGGCACGGAACAGATCCAGCGACCGAGGACACGGCACATGGGAGCCGAGCAGCCTTCCCCAGCACCCCAACACCGCCTTTTGTGCCTCACATTTGGTAAAGTGAGGATGAGATGGAGGCAGCCCAGCTCGGAGGAGCCAAGAATTTTCCCCAGCACGTAGTGGAAAGCCAGGAGGAGCCGGGAGGAGCAGGCACAACAGGTTTGAGAGCAGCAGCAAGCGGGGAGAGGGCAGAATCCCAAACAGGGAGGAAGAGCGTAGTCAAACATCCATCATCAAACACAGCGAGGGAACACCACAAGTGCCAGCCTCGCAAGCTTGCCTTCAAAAGAGGGAAAATGCTAATCAGAGGTAGAGGTGTAATAAAACCACCGGGGCGTGGGGAGACTGCATGGCGGAGGAGCGAGCGCCCCATTATTCGGGAGGAGGCAGCCTCACACAGCCTGGCTCCATCCACAGGGCCCGAATCAAAGCCCCAGACACAAGCAGGGCTCCAGCTCTGGTACCAAGGGCACTGCGGAAATCAAGGACTCACCACATCAGAGCCTTCCTCTGGGATACCTCCGAGAGCCCGCAACAGGGTCAGGGGCTGTATGGAGGCTCTCAGTCCCCACGAGAGCAGATTTTGTCCTGTGTGGCTGGAGTGAGGCACTGGTGGAGGGTACGAAAGGCAGAAAGTGAGTGAGCAGAACCAGGAGACAACATCTGGCTTGCAGTTACTGCAGGAAAAATAACTCAGCTCATCCCCACACCGGCGGTGAGAGGAGAGGCAGGGGAAAAGGCGAGGAATTACATCAGTTGTGGAAATACCTGAAAGGAGCGCTGACCAGAAGGGGTCAAGATACACAGGGGCTGTGCTTTCAGCACCAGACACGAAGAAATGGGAGACAAGCAGCCAGACACCATTGCTATGGAGATACAAGGCACTGGAGCACTCTCAGCAGGGAAAATAAAAGGAATTACAAGCCGCATTTTTAGCTGCGCAGAAAAACATCCTCGAGATAGGATCAGGCCAGGGGATCCACCCCATCCAATTGTTAGTCAGCTGTCATCTGCTTCCCTTCTTCCACCGTCTGCAGGTCAAAGAGGACGCAGCAACAGATACGAAGTGTAAAGAGGTTATTTTATTATTGATTCAGAGGTTAGACAAGGCACCATTTGATCTAGAAAGAAATGCAAAAAAAACCCTAACAATTAAGTGTTATTTACGCAGTCAATTAAGAAAGTCTCTTTTGCATTTCTTCAGCATTATGTGAATTCCAGCTTGGTCAAGATCACAGGAAAGCCACCCCAACGCCAGGTAAGGCAGGCTTGGACTAGAGCCGCAGCCCCTCAGTTCACCAGCAGAAAAACCTCGAGCCGCCTCTGTGCCCCGAGGCTTGAGGAATGCAGCAGAACAAGAAAAACTAAACTTCCAGGAAAATACCATGGCATTTTTTTTTTCCCCTTTCTACTTCAGAAATGAGTTGTTTGTTCATTTTGGTCCTTGCTGACAGGAAGCAGCTTTAGAATCAAGGTAAACCTCGCGGTGGCTTCCAGCTAAGAGCAGTAAGAAAAGCCCTGAAAGTCCCGGAGGAGCCCGGGACAGCATCCAGCCCCCCCCCTCCGAGCACACCAAGGACCTGGGTATGGGCTGCAGCACGGATTTTTTCTCTCTGTACAATTATTTTGCCTTCCAAACACTGATTCCTAAGGAGAAGGTAATCTCCTCTCCAAAATGATTCTGCTGAGTAAGAAATCCAGACAAATACCAACCAAATCAACCCCCAACCCCCTTGTCTTCCACCTCCTCTCCCCCTCCCATCAATCCCCCCCCCCAGCTGCCCTCCCTGCCCCCCCTGCCCCGGGGAGGGCTGCAGTGGGTGATGTAGCAGCGTGCAGCTTGGCGGTTTCTCATCTGGTTCACGAAGTCACTCAGCTGGAATAAATGGGAACAAAAAAAAAAATAGATTTAGGGGGAAAAAAACAACAAACCAAAACAAAAAGAATCACGGTTTATGGCAGAAGAGGGCTGTTGAGCTGGATGCAAAGTAAACACGAAGGGGAAAAGGAGCAGAGGGGAAGCACACATTGCTCTTGCTGGGGGGTAAAACCAAGTCCAGGGGCACCACCCGGCCAGGAACCCCTCCTGCCAGCACGGCAGCGAGCAGGGCACCGCAGCTTTCTTTGACTCTCCTGAGATGCTGAGATAAAAGCTGCTCCACTCGGTTTCTTTACAGTCACTGACACAGGGGCAGCCCCAACGCACATTTTCCACTACTGTGGATTGCAGCAGCTCTGCACTGTCCCCCCCCTTCCCACACGTGGCCTCCACGCAGCGGGGCTGCCCTTTCACAGGAAAATGAGACAAGAGACAAGGTAACAGCCACCTGTGGAAACTCGGGCTGCTGACGAAATCAGCACCCTTAGCTACTTTCAAATCCCCTGTCCCCACACTCACATGCTTTCAAGAGCAACAAGCCAACTGCTTTCAGTTTCTAGCATCATTTCCAGTTTGCTGAAAGGGAAGAGGGCTGCTTCCTTGGAAAGGATATACGAGGACAGAGTCATTTTCAGCCAAAAGAGAAGTTACCAAGAAAAACAGCAATGGTTTCCTGAGGGCTGGGCACCTGCTACAGACACACAGCGGCTCGGGGCAGAGGGAGACGTGGCATCTCCTGGGAGGAGGGTGCTCAGTGACACCCTCCCCTGTGCCCGGGCACCAAGCACGGTGTGCGGTGTCCTCAGCCGGACAGCGCTGCTCGATTTGCTCAAGGAACGAGCACATTTCCATGAGCTCACAACAAAGGGCACTGGCTCAAGGGCACGTGATGCTAGCAGTTAGTAGCTGTGTCTCCCAGGCCTTGAAAAAAAAAAAAAAAAAAAAAAGTGTTTGTTTTGCAATAAGGTTTTATTTAGACTTTGGGATCAGGGGAAGCTAAACACGTCTTCACCTTCCTTGGCCAAAGTCAAGGGAAGAGGGCAGTGAGAAAACCACCACCCAGATCCACTTCTTGTCCTCAGGACATGACAAATTGCCATGTGGAGACTGCCTGGCTGTGACCAGGGACTTCATTAAAAATCCCTTCTCACTAATAATCACTATATTGGGGTGCATACCTCAACTGGAAAAGGTTTAGGGTCCACAATGAACGCCCAGCTCACACCCACACATTTTTTTGCCCTACAAACACCACCAGAATGGGGAAAAAAGTGATCTGTGCTCTCACAGACTGCTGTGTCACCCAGAATACCACACATTCAGCAAGAACAAACCCTCACCCAGCTCTGCACACACTCACAGCCAAGCTCTGCCTCCCGCTGCTGCTCCCCCCGAGGACACACGCAGCCCTTCACGCGCCCCCCACAAGCCCATTTTGCTTCCCGCAGCTGACAGAGCATCCCCTATCGGGTACCCTGCTCAGGCCTCATCTCCAATCTCCTGCTCATCCTCTGTGCAGCAGCCAGGGACAGCTGGAGGTGCAGCTGCTTCCCCCGGGGAGCTGCAGCTCCAGGATGAAACAAAAGCCTTTTGACCCACAGGGGTGCAAACCCCGCTGCTGGCAGCAGGCAGCCGGTGCTCAGGCTCGCTGCGACATCTAGGGGCCAAACCGCCCACACGTGCACACAAACGGACACTCGTACCGAGATAGAGACCGTTAACAGCTCGTTTAATAGAAAATTGGCAAAGCCCTGCCTTGGGCTTCAGCATTCCCTCTTCTACTCTGCATAGCTCTTCACCCTCCCTGGCCCCAAACGGACAGACACAGAGAGAGAGAGACGGAGAGAGGTGGAGAGAGACAGACAAGGAGAGCCCCGTCCTGGGACGGAGCCCTAAACGAACATAACCAGGTCTTT